CGTACAGTTAGTTACAGCTATAAAACGTCAGCTGCTGATCCTTTCAGGTGTTACTGGGACTACTGTAGTTTTAATACCTGCATAGTTTCACCCTCAACAGTTCCCCTGGTGAAGATGTAAAGCAGCTCCATGAGTATACAAAGTGAGTTAAATGGAAGGATTTCTATTTCTGCTGTATGAATTTCTACCCCAAGGTTAATTTTGCTGGGGGATTTTTTTTACCCTGAGGTGCAAGGGGATGAAGGGACTGATAGTTAAAGAAAAGCCAACAAACTGAAAACTATGTGCACTATGTATAACTATGTATAATCAAACCTTTTAACAACATTTCTTTCAACAACATTCAGCAATCAAAACAGATGATGCTAAGCTATTTTTTATGACTCCTGCTCTCTTCCAAAGGCCTGAAATTTTTTAAAAGCAAAAGGGTGCCATTTCTATTAGGCAAAAAACCACTTTTATTTAAAAAACACTAAAAAAAAAATTCAGTAATATTCCCTCATATAAACTACACACACTATCAAAAGCCAACTAGCTCTGAAAACTGAGCCCCTTAATTCGGTTCGGAAAACTTTGAGCCTGGATCTTTCATTAGTATAAACAGGCAAATCTCCCTTGAAGTCAGTTATACCCATTCTGTCACCTCAGAGAATCCAGCTTTGTGATCACAGAAACGTTTAATTTTTCAAGGGGAAGGGGAGATTGAACAGAGAGTCCAGGACGTGGCCCTGTCTATATATTACTATGTATATTACTGTTTGCCACTGAAGGTCCAGCTTGGAGGCCGCAGATCTGTCAGTGACCAAACATGATGGACCACCCATCGGCCTTTTATTAACCAGCACTTGTTCCCCCTCTAATCCTATCACCAGTGTAATCAAAGCTGCCATGTCCCAGGGTTTGATGGAACAGCAGGACCTGGGAAATGAAGACTGATTTTGTTAACAAAGTCATTCCTGCCTCATGAATGCTGTCTCATTGGTAGAAAGCGGGGGAGACGAGGTTTATTTGTGCAGAGAATGAGGCGGCAAAGAAATGAAAGGGGGAGAATGGTGAAGTGTGAAGTTTAATCTGGCACAGTCTGAGGTTTCTTTATTTGAGGCCGTCTCTGATCCAATCAACACCGGTTTGATATTTAACATCTCCCCCTGCAGTTGGAAATTATACCAGCCAGAGGAGACTGGAGTCGAGGCCTCGGAAGCCCCAAACAGCCAAGGGAGAGAAAAGGGGGTGCTGGCAGCTCCTCACCAGCCTGACAGCTTCCCCCACAACAGGCTGGGATGAATTTGGGCCCTGACACAAAATCCCCCTTCTGAACCTTGGGATTCAGGGCATCTGGCATGAGCTGAATGCAGACAGTCCCTGAGGAGAGCAAGCTCAGGATGGGATGGGATGGGAGAATGACTTTACTTATAACTTGGAGGAAGGGATATGAACACTGTCTCAGGCTGGGGATGCTGCTGAGAAACAGGATCAAACACAAACAAGAGCTGTCACCCACCTCCCCAGGGAACAGTGGTTTAAGTAGAGGAGTAAGACCTTCCCCTTGCTGACCATACAGACCTTTAGTGGGGACACACTGATGCCCAAGGGCATTCACTGAGGGGTGGTGGGGGTCCCACCAGAGCCCTGGGCCAGCAGGGTGGATGCCACAGACCTGAGCAACTGCAGGAGTCACTGTTACCATTCTCCTTTACTCCAACAACTGTATGTCAGCCTGGGGAGAGTTTCCCATCACAGACCCACATGACAGTCCCAAAGAAGAGGGAAAGTTCAGCCCTATACTCAGCTGGCCCTCAGCAGACATATGGACAAGTCCTCACAGCCACTCACGGTGCTGGCTGCAGGGCTTCTGCCAGGACTCCAAGAGAAGGCCCTGAATGACATCTGCCCCTCACCAGTTCTCAGTCCTGGCCAACCTGATTTTGCCCTTTTCTGGCCACTCTGTAAGTAACCATCAGTGCTGTCAGACAGAGTTTGTCTGCTTCCTCTTCTTTGCGTTGCCTCGGCTCTTTCTGTCTCACCTTCCATGAAAACCCTGAAACTTTAAACAGCAGGTGAAATTTCAACCTGACCCAAACCTGATCTGAATTCCCCTGCTGCCAGGCTCCCAACACAGCCTTCTGCTGGGATTCAGACACCTTGACACCAGCTATACCATTCTCCAGGCCCAGACTGTGTGAACAGCTGCTGCCAGAGTCCCTGGGGGTGGGATAACACTCCCTCCAGGATCCAAGCAGGAGAGCGGCTGGTCAGCAAGGTCGTGTGAGTGATGCTGGTGTGGAAGACTGTCAGGAAATGCTGCAGAGATTTCAGGGGGAGCAAAGCATCAAACTACAAAGTTTCAGGGTATACAATAGAAAACAATGTGTCCTCTTCTACCTGCAAGAGCTGGCTCTCCAGGAAGCAGCTAATTATATGAGCCACCTTAATCTTTTTATCCGGCTAAGACAATCAACATTTCAAAGCCACGCACAGAACATTTCAAAGATTGTTCCTGGTCAAAAATGCAAGTGTATCCACTTTCTTTCAGAGCAGATGAAAACCAAGTTCCTCACTGGGACCACTCCTAGATTTCCTCCTCCTCACGGTATCAGATTAACAGATTTGGTGCATGTAGTCAGATTAAATATTTGCAGTAGCACAAAGCTGCCTTTGAGGGGAAGAAGTAGGGGAAAAAACTTTTTTTTCCTTTTTTTTAAATTTGTTTAGGGTAAAAATACTGGACTTTGGGGACGTGGGAAACAAAAGCATTGACATGATTCAGCGAAGCACAGTTTTATAACCTGAATTCTGAATGCAGAAATAATGTGCAGTATTCCCGTAACAGTAATGCTGAAAACAGGTAAGAAACCGCTGATGCCCTTAGCAGATTTGGGACTGTAATTTATCACAGATGTTCTCATCAAACCGTGCAAACACCCTATGAGACAAAAGCTGCTCAATTTCTGATTTCCATTTTAGTGTGTTTTAATTACGTGTTGCTTAAGGACAGCTACAAAACCTGAAATTGGGAGGTGCAACCTCACAATAGTAATCCACTCCACTAAATTAGCACAGTAATACACCAAGCAGTAGGACTGCCAGACGATGTGATAACATTACAAATTACTATTGTTAAACAACTAGCCAGGTGTCAGGATGCATGAAATCTAGAGGAAGCAAGAAAATAAATATCTGGTTTGTTTCGTTTAATTTTGTCTCCTGTTGTTCTGGTGGCCTTGTTCCCAGAAGAAGTTTCAATCTAGGAAAAATCCTCCTGAACACTGATCTATTTTAGCAGCCTTGTCAATTCTCTTGAACAATTAAAATGTAGTGTATTTTTTTAATCAGCACAAATGTTTTGAATGATTGTCCTTTACTTGCCAATAGCAGTAATACCTTTGATGTTCTTTTTTAGATTATTTTTATGACAAAACAAAGGGAAATATTTTGTTTCTATTTAAAACTTGGAGAGAAAAACAATTATGGTAAAAGCAGCAGTGAGTTTTGTAGTCTGTCCCTTTTTCTTTCTTTGTCACTCCCTCTCTCTCTAAAAAGAAAAAAATGTAATATGATTCACGTTTAAAAGGCTTCCAAGTGGTACATTTTTAACCAAGTGTTTTCATGTGCTTGATTCTAACTGCCATTTTTGACCCAACACAACCAAACACTACTGGATGTCTGGAAGGGCTAATTATTTTTACCTCATCCTAAAGAAGGAGTTGAACATAGAGGATAGGCACTTAAACCTTTCAGACAGAAGAGGGAAAAACGAATTCCCTGTTTTGGATGTGTGTTAATTAATGTAAAATCCCGAGGGACTTTCTTATAATTATTTTTCTTGATAAACAAAAAAAATTTCTCCAAAAGAGTATATAACCAATCTTCTCCTCTGAAGGCTGTACGCAGAGTTAGACGCCTTGTTGAAATATTGGATGAACCAAATGTTAGTGAAAGCCAGACTTTTTCCCCTTAAAATAGTTCCCACTAGACTTCAGGAGAGCAGGGGGTGAAGGCACTCTAAGGACATTTTAATCACACCAAAGATCAGTCCTTTAATCCTTATTCCCACATCACCAAGAATTTTTTTGGTCTAACTAGGACAGTAAGATAAGGCTGGAAATAGGCTGATCCCAAACTAATGACAAAAAGCAAGTTAAAAACAAAATATCATAGCAGTAACTGACACCATCTTAAATCACCCCTGGATTATTTGTTTTCTTCCACACACATTCATTTCCTCAATTTCTAGTAAATCTGATTTCACATAAACAGTTCCACAAAGCAAAGTCAATAGCTGTTACTGTGTTCCTGATTAATCCACTGAAATGAAATAGATCTCATGGCTTAGTATTTGGTTTTTTAAAGCTAAATCCACTGAAAGAATTCCGGAGTCCAGTTACACCAATAACTTTTGTTTCTTAACCTACGTCCCTTTCTTTTTGCTGAACTTTACCTGCTCTAAAATGAAAAAATCCCATGCATATTACACACTTAATTTCCCCCAGTACATGAGGGCAACATAAGCCACTTTGTTTTGACCTGGAGTGACCACTGAAAAGACAGTTTGCATGTACTTAAATCATTTTGAGCAATGTCGAAATTTCTATTTTCATTGTTCATGCTTCATCCTCTTCCTGACAAGTACCACAGAGCTGCTTTACTTCAAAACAAACAAACAAAAAAAGCCCTTTTCACCCAGCTCCGGGACAGGACTGGAGGCATGGAAGTTTCCCTCACAAGTGGCAAGACAGCAGGCACACACATTTACACCCCGGACATTTGCCTCTCAAATAAATTATACTCATGATACACACGCTGCGCACATCGCGGGTTTTCCGCAGGCAGCACGGATCGGCGTGACAGAGAGCGGGCAGCCCAACACAAAGGCTGCTGAGGCCCATGAGTGACCACCCCGCTGCAACAGGCTTGGGGTTCACCCCCATCAACCGATGGAAATGCCAGGAGAATGGCCCTCACGTCCTGAGATAAGACACGAGGCCCAGAAGCCTCCTTACCTGGGAGAAGTTGAGCCCATTCAGCGGGTGACACTGCTCCTCCACCCGCTCCACAGCTCCTGTCTTCTTCTTCATCCTCTCAGCCTCCTGGGCGAGGTAGAGATCGAGCACTGGCACCCCTCTGGAGCGGATGTCCGTCTCTGTCAAGGAGTTCACCATGAGCATCACCCAGACGGGCCTCTTGCGCTCCCAGTTGCCAGCGATGGCGTTGAAGAGGTAGTCGGCGTAGAGCCCTTTGCCTCGCTGGTCCGGGGTCATCCAGTGGGGCAGCATCAGCTTGATGTAGTCCAGGTGGCGCTTGAGGCGGCGGTACAGCTCCCGGGGCAGCACGTCCTGCAGGTTCTCTCCGTGGGGCAACATCTGGCAGCTGGCCAGCCCAGAGATGGTGTACGGGTCCGTGAGGTCCAGCTCGAAGTAGACGCTGGAGCTGGCGTGGAAGGCGGCCTTGGAGTTGTCAGGGATGAAGTCCCAAACTCGCGTGTAGGGCACGTGGATGGTGCCGAAGAGATAGGCGGGGGGGTCGCGGCGAATGGTCCAGAGGAAGGAGTTGAGCTCTCCTTGCTGCGGGGAGGACAGCGGGGCCGGTCAGAGATGGAGGGACGGAAGGGCAGGAGACAGCGATGCCACCCGCGGGTCTGCCCTCAGGGCAGGAGGAGCGGGGATCCCGCTCCCCCGCGTCGTTGCACAAGCCCCAGCGAAGCAAAGCCCACGGGCGCCCAGAGGCCCGCGTGTGGGGCTGAGCCCCGCCGTGACCCGCCGCCCTCCCCCCGCCCGGCCCCGCATCCCTCCGGCCGCGCTCCCGGCGCGGGGCCCCGCGCGGGGCTCACGCGGGGCAGCGCCGCCACACCTGCGGGGCCACGC